GTCTGCCTTCCCCGAAGCTCTTGTCTTCATGTTTGCTTGGTTGGGATTTCCTCTAGTATGTCTAGGTTCTTTAATATAAGGCTGTAAGATTTTGGAATTGCTGAAATGAATCTTTTGTGTGTGTGTGTTTAAGGTAGAAATATGTTCCTGGATGGGCTCCTAAATCCTTAAAAACCTTAATGTTTAATGCTATCATTTGTTTAAAAATCAAGCATTACAGTGAGCCATCTGAAATTTAGAGGGAGGAAAAACTGTTCCGGTGTCTAGGGGAGAAGGGAGGAGGCAGGATGAGGGGGGAGAAGAGGAAGCTGGAAGTGGGCTATGAGAGGTAGAGGGGAGTCACCACCCAACGGCCTTGGGGAGATTTTAAGCCATTCCTTCCCTTGCAACACCCCTGTACTTAGCCTAACTGGATGTTACAGTCTCTGCCAAGGATTCCAGACTTGTTCCCAGAGGGCAGCGCCTGTGACAGTGTGACTCACTGGACACAGAGCTCAGCACAATAGCACGTGCAGATAAGTGCTTCCTAGGGGCTTTTTTGGGAAGCTGATATTTTCAAGAGGACACAGCCTTGTGACAGAGCTCACCGAGGAGCCCTCTGAGGGCGTGCTCAGCAGGAACTTGGGCTGGGGCGTGGGAGCGGGGAAATGGCGACCCTGCCTCTTGGAAAGCTGCTGGAAGCACAAGGCCAAAGCCTGCGGGGGCTAGAGCAGCGTGTCCGTGGGCACACAGCAGAGTCTGGCAGCCCGCATGTGCTCTAGATAGGAGATTTCATCCCATGCTGTGGCTGGCCTGGAGCTTCTCAAGGACCAAGCGCCAAAACCGTGCTAGGAGGTGACTGCCAAGGGCTTTCCCGTTTCAGGGAGAGAGAGAGAAGGGTCCACTGAGATGGGCCCAAGTAGCCATCGGCCGCAGCCAGCAGGGGAAGACTGTCGGGCTATATAAGAGTAACCCTCCCCCCCGCCGGAACGGCAGAGTGGCAGAGAGGTCTCAGCCAGCTCTTCTGCTCAGTGCTGGAGTTGGGGGGTGCTGGGAGGGGGACTCTCCTGGGCTGCATCCTCGTGTCCCATCAGCCTTGTCTGCTGGGGGGTGACCGACTGGGTGCAGTTACACTCTCAATTATCAGGGCCTCATTCAATGGGATTGGAGCCCCATTGGGCCTCGCCAGCCACTATGTCTCCCACTGCCACATTTATAATCCGGTGTTTCCCAGTTAACATGAATAACAAGCAAGGCCTCCAGTAAGTAGGCAGTAATAAACAGTCACAACTTCTATTTATTGAATAAACAAAGGGCCCAGCTAGTCACTTTGCATGCATTATCCTATTCAATAGTGGTGCTAGTATTATCATTATCATTCCCATTTTGTAGGTAAGGAGATTGAGGTTGAGGGACATGAAATAACTCAATGGGAAGTGGATCTGAGCTTTGCCCTCTGACTCTTGAACCCAAGCAGCTCATCATCTCAATGTCCAGCCTTTCCAGTGTCAGGGCCAGGGTTTCAACCCACAATCAGAGCTCCTTACCACTTCACTATACTCTCCGGACAATATCCAGCCACCTAGATTGGTGGAGTGTGCACAGGGGGAGGCAGAATGCCAGACAGCCAGTCCGGCTTTCTCTTCTAGGCCAAGAGCCCAGGGTTCTAGACCCGGGACCCAGGAGCCTTCCAGATGCCTCCTGTAGCTGCACCCAGGCTTTCAGTTTCTGCACTGTGACTGTCCCACCTTGGGCATGCGAATCAGAGGACGTTCAGAGACAAAAGAGACTTTAGAGTTTCCCCGATGCAATGTCTTCAGTTTGCAGGCGGGAAAAGAAGGCTCAGGGAAGGAAAGTGGCCAGGCCTGAAACTCAGATCTCCTACTTCCCCTTCCACTACTCTTTCCATGCATTAATGCAGCTTGGCCAAGAAGAACATCTAAATGCCTGCTCCAGGCAGCCTCTGGTCCACGCAACCTACCAGGTTACCTGTGACAGGGACACGGGGGGACAGCATATGGGAAAGTTGACAGCCTAGGAAGGGTGGAGGCATCTCCGAACCCCCAAATAAAGAGTGGAGTTCCCCAGGATGGCCACTATGTGCCTGGAACCCATAGGTTTGGCTATATCACACCGAGCATTAGAAAGTGGGAACCGGGATGTGTGTGTGTGGGGGGGATAGATGGTGAGGGGAGGCTAGGAGGCTAATTTTTGATCCACTCTTTGTAGATGGTCATGGAGGCAGCCCTCCTGCCTGGTTTGGTTCCTCCCAGGGGTTGGGGACCCCTCAGGCCCAGCCCCTGGGACCTGGTAGACTACAGGGCACCTGTGGCTGTAGGCAGGTGCAGCCCAGGACCATGGATTTCTCTCCCTCTGCTGATCCCTGGGCAGAACACCTTCCTGTGGTGCATTCCGGAGTGGATGGAGGCTGAGCTAAGTGTTCCTCAGAAGCTGCCTGCAGTCAGAATGACATCATGTCTTCTTCCTTCCGTCTTCTGCCAGTTAGCTTAATGGTTGATTAGCCATCAGTGTGTGTTTCTCTATCTGCCTTGCTGCTCTCTTTCTATGTGTGAGTCTTTTTTTGTCTTCCTTTGCCATCCTCAGTGGCAGTTTTGTGTGTGTATCTTAGATGCAGATGAGATAGTCCAGCTAGTTGGAAAAAAAAAGAGAGACTCCTCTTTTTTTTTTTTTTTTTGAGATTTATTGTTTATCCTCAAGTCAGAGTTATACAGACAGAGGAGAGGTAGAGAGAGAGAGAGAGAGAGAGAGAGAGAGAGGTCTTCTATCTGCTGGTTCACTCCCCAATTGGCCACAATGGCCAGAGCTGCACCGATCCGAAGCCAGGATCCAAGAGCTTCCTCCGGGTCTCCCATGTGGGTGCAGGGGCCCAAGCACTTGGGCCATCCTTTACTGCTTTCCCAGGCCATAGCAGAGAGCTGGATTGGAAGTGGAGCAGCCAGGTCTCAAACTGGCACCCATGTGGGATGCCAGCGCTCCAGGCCAGGGCGTTAACCTGCTGTGCCACAGCGCTGGCCCCAAGACTCCTTTTAAACTTTCTGTGTTTCCCATTCAGGCATCCTCCAAAGGTTACAGATGTGCTTGTCTCCAGTCTTGCACTTGTACCCCTGCCCCCAACAGCCTCCAACAAAAGCACATTGATATCTCATGTATAGGAAGATGCCAGATGTGTTCCCCAGGGAAAAGAAATACCCACAGCAGCTGCGAGCACGTGCAGCGAGTGAGGGGGCTTGCTGGAGCTGGCACAGGCCGGAATTGCCCCCAGGAAGATGGTTACAAAGGCCACATTTCTCTTTGGCAGCTCCTTGCAGTGTGTCCTTCAGCCATTCTCCAGCACCTCATCAGATTGGGCCTGCCCCCAGCATCCCTCTCTCCTCCCCCTCCCCACCGGGCTGCCCATGCCTTGGTTCCTGTCTCAGCTGCCAGAGGCCAAGCTTTCTGTGCTTTCCAGGCTGAGAACCAAAGGATCCAAGGAAGGAGGCCAACCCGAGAGGGCTGAGACAAGGGCAACAACATATATGTATATATGTATATGTATATGTGGATATGTATATGTGTATGTATATATATGTATATGGCATCCCAAACAGTGGCTTATTACCACCCATCCCCATCCAGAATTTAATTTTTTTTAAGATTTACTTATTTGTTTATTTGAAAGGCAGAGCTATAGAGAGGCAGAGGCAGAGAGAGAGAGAGAGAGAGAGAGAGAGGTCTTCCAATCCGCTGGCTTACTCCCCAGATGGCTGCAAAGGCCCAGAGCTGGGCTGATCCAAAGCCAGGAGCTTCTCTGGGGTCTCCCATGCG